GGCAAATGGGGTGCTAGATGTTCTTAGTGCCACCCGCCCAGTAAAAGTCGAAGAGCAAGTTGCGTTTGACAAGAGGGATGCAAAAGCTACAGACTTGATAATACAATGTACCGCTGACACTCATGTTGAGTATGTTCGAGGAGAATCAGCAAAGGAGATCTGGAACAAATTAAAAACTACATTCGAACGAAAAGGTACTTCTAGTCGTTTATATTTATTAAAAAAATTGATTACAATGAAATTTGATGATAATGAATCAATGGAAACTCATCTGAGTCAGTTTGATGATTTACTTAGACAAGTTAGACTATCTGGTGGAAAATTAGATGATGATCTAATTGCATGCATGCTCCTTTTAACGTTACCTGATTCATTCAACATGGTGATCACAGCAATTGAAATTTTGTCATCTGATAAAATAACACTAGAATTTGTGAAATCGAGGCTTTTAGATGAAGAAATTAAAAGAAATTCAAGATCAGACTGTTCAACAGGAAAGGATAACTCAAGTGTTAAAGCTGCTTTTGGCACATCTACAAATCGTTTTCCTTTTAAATGTAATTTTTGTCATAAACCAGGGCATAAGAAGCAAGATTGTTGGAAGTGGAAACGACAACAAGAAAATACAGATAAGTCAGCCAATATGACTGAAGAAAATGATTTTATAGCTTTTATGGTCTCTCCACATGATCATGTTGTCGATAATCATTTAAATATGTCATGGTTCTTAGACTCTGGTGCATCTGATCATTTGATTAATGATGAAAGTTATTTTAGTGTTTCAAGTGAACTGAATTCCCCGATAACAATCGGCGTGGCCAAGAGCGGAGAAAGCTTAAAAGCTTTCAAAGTAGGTGAAATAAATGTATCTCAAACGTTAAATGGTAAAACTGTAAGGTGTGTAATTAAAAATGTATTGTATGTTCCGCATTTAAGAAAAAATTTATTGTCAGCCGGGAAAATTGAGCAAAACGGTTTGTCGATTGTATTAAATAATGGAAAAGCAGAGATTCATAATAAAAATGGTCGAGTAGCTGAAGGCATAAGAAAAGGTACATTATATGAAGTTGTTTTTAATGTAATTAAATCAAATGCATATTCATCTGAAAAGGAAAGTAATTATGATTTATGGCACTACCGATTAGGTCATATGAACCATCAATATACAAATCGACTGAGTTCAATGGTTGATGGGCTGAAATTAAGTAAGCCTATTGATGGAATGTTTTGTCGAATTTGTGTAGAAGCTAAACAGTCTCGTTTACCATTTAAAGGAGAACGAACTAGAGCTAGTAGACCCATAGAATTAATTTACAGTGACATTTGTGGACCAATAAACCCACCTACATGGAATGGTAAAAAATATTTCATTACATTTATAGATGATTTTACCCATTTTACAGTTGTTTATCAACTTACTAATAAAAGTGAAACGTTTGAAGTATTTAAAGAGTATATTGCTATGGTAGAAGCTCAATTTGGTACAAAAGTTTCTAGACTACGATGTGATAATAGTGGGGAAAATACTTCAAATAATATCAAAGAATTTTGTGTTCAAAAGGGAATCCAAACCGAGTTAACCATACCATATACACCAGAACAAAATGGTCATGCAGAACGTATGAACAGGACATTAATTGAAAAAGGCCGTGCACTATTACTTCAGAGTTCTCTTGGAAAAGAAATGTGGGGAGAAGCTATCTTGACAGCAACATACCTCATCAACCGTTCACCTAGCCACTCAAAATTTAATAAAACTCCAGCTGAGCTTTGGTTTAAAAGGAGGCCAAACATTTCAAATTTAAGAGTTTTTGGTTCTATTGCACATCTGCATTTGCCAAACCAAATAAGAACAAAGTTTGATAGTAAGTCTAAACAGTACACAATGATTGGATATACAACACACGGCTATCGTCTTTGGTGTCAAGAAACAAAAAAAAATCATAACAGGTAGAGACATTATTTTTGAAGAAAATATTAAAGATCAAAAGGTAGTTTCAAAAGATATTGTCGCCTATTATCCAGATAAAGAAAGTTTCGAAGACAACCCAAACAAGGAGAACACCGAGGACATCAAAACACATAGTTGCATAGAGCAAGAAAAGGAACAAAATGATAAAAAAAATGAAGAGCAGGATATTAGACCACAAAGGACCATTAGAGCACCAAATTACTTGCAAGATTATGATACATCCTATTTGGCAATGGCTTTATCAGCTGAAACTATAATAGACAATGTACCAACAACATATGATGAAGCTCAAAGTCATCCAAACAAGAAGGAGTGGAATCTAGCAATGAAATCAGAAATAGAATCTTTACACAAAAATAAAACATGGACACTTGTTAAAAAACCACCAAATAGAAATATAATTAGTACAAAATGGATTTTCAAAATTAAGAAGAACGGTGAAGGACAAATAATCAAATATAATGCCAGACTTGTTGCCAGAGATTTTTCACAACAAGAAGGACTGGATTATACAGAAACCTATTCTCCAGTAGCAAAACTCACTACATTTAGGTCTCTGTTAGTTTTAGCAGTTCAAAGAAGTTGGCATCTTTACCATTTAGATGTTAAAACAGCTTTTCTACATGGAGTTGTGAATGAAGAAGTATACATTGAACAACCTTGTGGTTTTAGTAAAAATAATAATCTGGTGTGTCGACTTCACAAGGCATTGTATGGTTTAAAGCAAGCATCAAAGTGTTGGAACTATAGATTTCATACATTTCTAACAAAAATTGGTTTCACTAGAAGTAACACAGATCATTGTTTATACACTTTAGATTTTAATGGTCAAGAAGATTTAGTACACTTGCTGCTATATGTTGATGACATCATTCTCGCTAGTGGGAGCATTAAGAGAATTAATGAACTCAAGTGTCTATTAAAAGAAGAGTTTGAAATTAAAGATTGCGGTATTCTAAATTACTACTTAGGAATTAAAATTGAACATAATGTGGATAAAGCAGAACTTAAGATAAGTCAAGGTCAGTATCTTAAAAATGTTCTTCAGCGTTTCAACATGTCAGATTGCAAACCAAGATCTATTCCAATTGAGACCAAACTTGATTTATCAATTAACACACTTACAACGACATCTTGTAGTCAGCCGTATAGACAGCTCATAGGATGTCTCATGTATGCTATGTTAGCCACACGACCAGATCTAAGCTACTGTTTAAACTATTTTAGCCATTTCCAAAGTAAACCCCAAGAAGTTCATTGAGTGCATCTAAAAGGTGTTCTTAGATATATTAAAGGAACATTGGATTATTCAATAATTTATAGAAAACAAAGTATTACAACAATACTTGAAGGCTATGTTGACGCAGATTGGGCTAATCATGAAGATAGAAAATCTGTGACAGGATATATATTTAAAATGTATGGATCAATAATTTCTTGGTCAACCAACCGTCAACCAACAATTGCACTCTCAACTACTGAAGCTGAATATATGGCGGCCAGCTATGCTACTTGCGAGGCAATATGGTTAAAGAATATATTAAAAGATTTTGGAGTTGAATTATCTGAACCAATAACATTATACGAAGATAATTAGAGCTGTATACAGCTATCACAAAATCCAAGCCATCATCGTCGAACAAAACACATAGATATTCGCCATCACTTCATCCGGGAAAAGGTTGAGGAAGGTGTTGTTATGCTAAGATACATTACATCAGAAAATCAACAAGCAGACATTCTGACAAAAGAATTACCAGTCAATAAAATCAATCATCTTGTCAAACTAATTATGAATTGAGTGGGAGTGTTGAAACAGCAATTCAATAATTATTTAATTATGTTATCAACATTATATTATTATCATATATCAAGTACCAACTATTGATTATTGTTATTATTACTATTGTGTTTTTACCTTTTGAGGTTATAAGCATGTGAGCATTAAAAATGAATTTACATATTGAAGAAAGGTGGTCTTCTCTTATTACATTTCAATATGCAGCAGCACGGCTGAATCAAGTATAAAATATAAAAATAACATATTGCAATTTACCATCATGGTTACATAATATATCACTAGTTACTGATTTTTGGTATACGGTTTTATTACCTACTATCTTAGTATATAAACGATAATAAATGCCGGTTACCTGTTTCTGAAAACATGGGATTATTGGTTAATCCTTAAGGTTAGTTTTTTATTATCCAACATCTAATACAAATTATTAACTAATTATTAATGTTCGATCGGGTTAGAAGACACTTGACTGGTCACCTCACACTTAAAAACTATTAAATGATTATAACACGGTTTGTTATTAATCCAAAGTAATTATATAATAATTCATCATAACCCAACACATTGGACATAAAATCGGGCGCCCGGAATAATAATAGTAATAATAATAATAATACAGAAAATATAATAATAATATAAACATAAATACATATATATAAAATGTAATACAGCCAACCACGGTAATGTACTCAATCCTATCGACGACAGTGCAGCCAACTTCCTGTTGCCGAGAGCGGGCAGGCACTCCACGAACAACGATGTATCGTACAACGCACAACGGCGCAATGGCGGCGGCAAACACGCACGACGGCGAAGGACCGACAAGCGGCAAATACGCACGACGGCGAAAGGCCGACCAGCGGCAAACACGCACAACGGCGAAAGGAAACGGGCGACCGGCGGCAACGCACACGATGACACCGCAAAATCACGCGGTAAGTAGAAAAATGGCGTAAATCAACAAAGACGCACCAGCGTGACGCCATGTCCTACGTAAATACGGCAAATCCGATAATCGCAATACGATGCGACCGATCCGATACGATTTCGTCATCCGATATTGCGGCGATCGGACACGTGGCAAACGTGAGATCGCATTAACGGACAATAGTCGTGCGACGGTTTTGTAGGTAGAAGGAACATTGTACATGCTAATATTCGTTTAAAAACATTAATCATGCCTTTAACCACACTACAAAACAAAATGCTTCTGACTGAAAATTCGGTACTTAAGTATTTATTACATAAAAGGTAAGTTATAAATTTAATTAAATAATGGTAAATTATTAATAATTATAAGTGAATTTATAAATATGTAGGTACAAAAAAATTAAAAAATCGTATCTTACCAGAGCTATCATTTTAAAAGACCGAATGATTTTTGGTGAGTTTTACCATTTATATAACCAAGTACGTTGTGATGACGCCTTATTTCGATCGTATACAAGAATGTCAGTTGCAACATTTGACTATATAGTTGAAATAATACGACCAGAATTTGATCTAAAGTCAACAAATTTTCAAGATCCCATACCAGTTGAAGAAAGATTGGTTGTAACAATTAGGTAAGCATTTTTAATCAATGAAATTAATTTATTATATTAGTAGTAATTTATACAAACACACATAAACACAAATATATATTTATGTACCTAATAAACAAACATATTTCAACAAAATAAAAAACCTTTCTTTTAAATAACTAATTAAAAACA